TATTTTTACTTAAGGGAACGTACTAATTAACGTTTTCTTTTTTTTTTTTAGGAAACCTGGACGTGAGATGAAGCTGAACGATCAGGATTCAAAAAAAAAATGAACTATGGTAAGTTCGTTTCTTTTTTTTGTTTTTTTTCTTTTACTTGAGGAACGTAATTAACGTTCCCTTCCTTTTTTTAGGACAAGGACCAGATCCGAACTAGATTCGGATCAGATTCAAATCGGATTCAAATGGATCTGAACCAGATTCGGATCAGATTGAACCAGATCTGATCGGATTTGGATCAGATCAGATCTATTAAAATAAAAATCAGATCAGATCAAATTTAAGCTGAATCCGGTCTGAACCGATCTGTCAGGAGCACTAGTTATCATACGGTATAACCGTATTTTGCGATCAGTATCTTTACAGTATGAATAATGTATTATTATCATATTACACATATGGTATATATTCGGTATTTTGCACACCGTATCATACATATTGTATTAACGCACATATGTTTAACATGAAAATTATATTGATATAAAGAATGATATAGCAGTGTGAACTGTACGTTTACCATTGTTGATTAATTTGCGAATAGCATGATATCCTGGTGTGAACTGTACGTTTCTTACTTTGATTAATTTGCGAACAGCATGATATCCCAGTCTGAACCGTACGTTTTCCACTTTAATTAATTTGCGAGCAGCACAATATCTCAGTGTGAACTGTACATTTCCCACTGTTGATTAATTTGCGAACAGCATGATATCCCGGTGTGAACCATACGTTTTCCATTTTGATTAATTTGCGAACAGCATGATATCCCAGCAATCCGTATGTTTACATATTAAAAATATACCATTAGTACACGTATTTACATAAAATGTTTTTATTTTATTAATAATATAATGTATAAATAAATATAACAGATAATTTTATTATTTAAATTAATATGCAATTAATAATTTGTATAATTAAAATCTAATAAAAGAATACTTTTATTATAGTAATAAAATTATTATAATTAAATATAAAGAAAATAAAAAAAAGAAAGAATTAGTAGTTATAAAAAAAGAAGTGATAAAAAGAGATACAATTAGTAGTGATAAAAAGAAGAAAAATTAGCGGTGATAAAAAAAAAAAGATACAATTAGTAATGATGAAAGAAAGATACC